ATTCAGGAAAAAAAAAAACAATGAAACAAATTTACCACCAGAGTTTGGGTCTTAATGTATAAAAAGAAGAAAGTAGTTTCCCCCTGTTTTGGAGGGGGTGCATTTTACAGTCAAATTTATAGCTATAAACAAGCAAAGAGCCACTTCTTAATGTGCTCACATACCGAGCAGCTTTAATCTGAATATCTAAAGTTCAAAATGGCTCCAAAATCCGAAGGATTATATGAGGTTCAAAATGTTTTAGGCTTTGCAGCATTTTGAATTTCAGATTCCTTTGGACCAGGGATGCTCAATAGGTAAAAATCTATACATACATAAATGGAAATATTTCAAAACCTGATGCACTTCTAGTCAGATAAGGGATAGTCAGCCTGCATTGTAATTTTGGTTGTTTAAGATAAAATTTTTTTTTCCATATTTGTATCTGAAACTTAGTGTGACAGAAATAATGCACCAGCTTCGCCTCATCTAGACTCTAGAAGAAAAGAGGGTGAGGGGAATAGAGAAGAGCAACCTCGTGAAATGGAACATCCTCCAGTTTGGAGCTAAGGTTTTCCGGCACACTGGCACCGTGGGTCTTAATAGAAATGATCATATGTATCACACTTTTTATTTGCTAACTTTATAATAATGAGCAATTTGCTATTTGTGTCACAGTCTCCTTTAAGAATAAAATCTGACCCCCTTGTGTGTTGCAAGCTTGTCACAGCTTCAAATCTCACCATTTACATTTGGATTTGTGTGAATACCTGCCAGTATGAATGTTCCAGGGAAAGCACAGTTGTGTCTCTCTTGCTCACCACTGTGTTCTTTAGTGCCTCACATCCTGCCTGGCACATGGTATTTACTTAATAAATATTTGTTGACTGGGGACATGTCCAAGCAGGCCAGAGCACTCACCCTCCATGCAATGGCAGTGTCCAGTTATCATCAGGTTCAGGGTAAGGATGACCCACTTGAAGTCCCCAGCAGTGTGAGAGAATGAATCCTCTCTCAGGTCCCAAATCCCTCTAACAAGACAGAATTATTGATTTCAACCATGTGAGTTGCTTTAAAGTACAAATGCCTTTTGAGAGAGTGCTTTCACACTAAAGGGTCAACTGCAGAGATTAGGTGTTCTGTTGCCATGGGGCTGGGGTGAAGAGAGGGGTATGGGGAGGGATGTTGGCAAACGACTGCATGAGGTGGGCTGGCCAAGGAGGGAATAGGGTAGAAGAGCCATGAATACTGTAGACATAGTCTTTTCTGGAGAAGCACAACTCTTTTTATTTTATTTTTGCTTTATGTCTATGAGTGTATTGCCTGAATAGATGTAAATGCACCCATGTTGTGCAGTGCCCACAGAGGTCAGAAGAGGGCATTGGATCCCCTGGAACTGGAGTTACAGATGGTTGTTAGCTGCCATGTGGGTGCTGGGATTCGAACTCGGGTTTTCCACAAGAACAGCTAGTGCTATTAACCGCTGAGCCATCTATCCAGCCCCCAAGAAGCACAGTTCTACCCACAGGCTATGGATGGGTATGGAACAGTTAGCAGAATGTCTGCTACACCTAAGCAGGCAATGATGATGACACCAATAACTGTGGACTATACAAAAAAAATGCTGGGATGAGCACTTTCTTTTACTGACTGGCTCCCTACTCTCATTAGATTTGAGGACATAAATTGCGATGATCCCCATTTTACAAGTAAGGAATCTGAAGCATAGAGGCAGTATAAATATCAGTAACCACTATAACTCGTGGTAGGCTCAAATGAAATTTTCATTATTATTGTCATGACTCAACAAAAATATCTTGTTGCATCCTTCTGTCTTTTTGTTTTCCTATAGTAGTATATATGAACAGGCTTTGACAATTTTACCAATGATTGGGCATCGGATTGGGAATACAGTCCATTGGTAGACCCATGCTTTACATGCAGTGAGGCCCTGGGTTCAAGCCCCAGCACCACAATAACAACAATGCGAATCATAATAATTAGGCATTATTATTATAAAATAACAAGGGGAAGCTTATATTGTGTATGGAAATGCAGTTTTAAAAGCAGACATTTTGTGATATTGTAAGTTTTTTTTTACTTATATGAACATATTACATCTTATTCAGACAGAACCATTTTCATATGAGGTAGTAGTGTTCTTAACCTCTTCCTAACTGAAATACTTCTAATTCTAATTACTATATGGAACATTTACTGAGTACCAGGGATTATCTCATGTGTTTTACATGTATTGACGTGTGTGTGTGTGTGTGTGTGTGTGTGTGTGTGTGTGTCTTAATAGCCAGGAAACAGATATTGTTTCAATTATACCCATTTCGTAGATGAAGAAACTGAGGCATATTTTGTAGATGAGAAGCTGAATCATTTGCCTGAGGTTTTAAGGGCAACAAGAAGCAGAGTCAGAATTGAAATTCAGGGACATAGGCCCCTTTAAATGCTTTGTCATCCACTTCATGTGGGGCACAGAAAGCTTTCTTTGCTGTGGTTGATACTTGGTGACATTCACAAGGACTTAGGAAGGTACTAAGCAATCTTTTCTCGAAAACTCCACTAGTTATCCCTTGACTTTCCCATTTTTCTCCATGGCTTTATTTGTTTTGTCCTGTTATTTTAAGTAGGTTTTAAAAGTACTTTTATTTATGTGTACCTTTTGTCTGTTTGGCAGTGCTAGCTGAGGCCAGTTGAGAGGGTAAGAGATCTGGAACTAGAGTTACAGGCAGTTATGAACCACCTGATGTGAGTGCTGGGAACTGAACCAGGATCTCTGCAAGAGCAGTAAGGGCTCTTAAACACTGAGCCATCTCTCGAGCTTCTAGGGGGACTTTTTGAGGTAGAGTCTCACTATGTACCCCAGGCTGGCCTTGAGCTTCCAGCAATCCTTCTGCCTCAAATTTTTGACAGTTGGGATTGTGCCACCACCCTAGAAATTTTTTTTTTCTCTCAGCGCTGTGCCTTGCACATGCCAGGCAAATGCGCTACCATTGAGCTGGACCCCAGCTTTTCAACCTCACCCTTTCCAAAGATAACTTAGAAGACAACGGAAATATTTTGTTTCATATTCACGTTGCATTTTGTTTTATTATAAAATTTCTCATCTGTTTCTGAGACTAACATCTACTACTATCAGAACAATGTTTTCTTTCCCTCTCATTCTGGTTCTAGTTTTGCCAATAAAATGTTTTTATCATTTTGTATGCTGAGTAGCAAAGGGTATGGATTGTTGATCAGGTCAGAAGCGCTACGGCGAGCTGCCTCTAGAGAACAGTGTCTGTGCTGTGATGTTTGCTAGATAAGCATGGCATTTATACTTTAGCTGCCACACAAATGTCACTCTGCTCTCCCCTGCAATGTATTCAAGTAAGTTACAGGCCCCGGAACAGTTAGGCTCAGCGTACCTCAAAATTCCTACAGACTTTGGGGTCAGATGATGAGTGATTTGCTTGGCGAGTAACTCAAACACACGCCATCAGCTCCTGTTTTTTCAAAATATCTGGGGAGTCGGTCTTTTACTGCAAGGGAAAAAGTAATAGTCTCATACCAGTTGGAACACCCCAGTTTTGGAAAAATGGCTTTAAAAAGTGCTGCAAAGCCACCCATGCTGCATCAGTGCTGGGGGTCATATGAGAAAAGACAGCGTCCAGACGCTTGTGGGTGGTAGGAATTTTATGGTCTGTTTGCGTGTCCAGTTTTGCAATCTTCAGAGGACTCCCTTCAGGCTGTCAATGAGACCCATTGAACCTGACAAGTTGCTGTTTGCCAGGTCTCCTGGAAAAACACACTGAAAAACTCTCAGAGCTGGGTGGGTCAAAGAGGATAGTACTAAAAAAAGAAGAAAATGGATGGCCCTGCTTTGGTGTGGGGCCAGAGCTTGATGCTACAGCCAAGTTCCCTGGTGATAGAGGAGTTTCCACTGCTGGAGGCTTCCCGTTCTGGCTTTCCCCGCCCTACCTTACACCATCCAGTATTAAAAATAACTCCACTTCCGGTGGAGCCACATCAGATCATTTGAATGCGTTGTAAGCAAAAGGGGCAGGTAGTGTTGATGCTTTAGGAAAGAGTGTCCTTGATGAAGGAGGCAGAAAAATAAACAAAGATGGCAGGGCCATAGTTAGGAGAGTTTCCTGGTTGCTGGTGAGCTGAGTGAAATAGCAGTGACTTCTCTCTCCTCTCACTCCTACTGTATTTTGTACCCCCATCAAATTAGACATTGACTGATGACTGTGCCAGTTTCAGACTGTTGATACTTGCTTCATTTTCTAGTTGTTTCATGTGGACTGGTATAAAGGGGGAAAGCTGGAACGTGACGTTAGCTGTGGAGAAATTGTAATTATGAAGGCCAAGAGTATTTTGAAGCAGTATCCAGTGTAGCCTGCACCGTGTACCTTGTACCTTGGCTACTGTGGATCGCTGGGACACTTGGGGGCTGGGTAGGGGCCATGGATTGGGTTGATGGTGGGGTGGGTCAGGGCTATGATGGAAACTCAGTTGGAATAGGTATCAGTGCATACCCTGCCACTTGATTCCTCTGAGCGTCCTTTGGGTCAGATGAAGTCTAGGCAGTGACCAGAGATCTCTCATTTTGTTCTGTTTGGTTCTGTTTGAGATAGGGTCTTCCCATATTCCTAGCTGGCCTGGGTCAAAATGCGAGGATTAAAGGCATGTGCCACCACAACCCAGCCCATTCTTAACATCTATTAGTTACTTTTATCATTGCTGTGATCAAAATATCAGACACAGAACTTAAAGGAGAAAGGTTCATTTTGGCTCATTGTTCAGAAGATAGAGTCCCTTATGATGAGGGAAGTCTGGTGGCAGGAGCTGCTCAGCAGTGGTGGTGAGACCTTGCTCACTTTTGGGCCATCAGGAAGCAGAGAAAAGGAAATGTCAGCGGTCAATGGGCTTTCTCCTTTTCCTCTTTTTTATTCAGTCTGAGACCCAGCCGGGATAAAACCACCCATATTCAGGATGGGTCTTTCCTCTTCAATCCTCTCAGGAAGAGCTCTCACCAACACACCCAATGGTAAGCCTAAATACCCCAAGGTGTTTTTAAGATAATTAACTTGGCAATTGAAATTAGCCATCACAGCATCCAACTCTGACCCAAGTTCTAGCCCCCTCCCTCCTGATAGCACATCACCACTACCACCTTCATCCAAGCTGTCATTTTCTTTTACCTTTAATACCATAATCATGTCCTCATTGGTATAGAGCAGGGAAAGCAATTTCCCATGGGTCAAATCATGAAAAGTCACCTGTTTCTGTAAATTAATGTTTAATTGGTGCATAGCCACATCCATTCATTTACATATTGTGATGGTTTTATCCTACAATGGCAAGGTGCAGTGGAAATCCTACAGTTCACAAAACTGGAAATATTTATTATCTGACCCTTTATTGGAAAGGTTCATGACCCTTAGTGCAGATAGAATACTTAATTGTATAATTACTTTGAATCTCCATGCTTTACTGAACTTGGGTTCCATGATATTTTAGATGTGTATACCACATAAACAAATCTGGAGTCTCCATTTTCTTGATTATACCTCTTAAGTCTGGTTTTATTGTAGTGAATTGCTTACACCTTCAGAACAGTGTTTGAGAATGGAGTGAAGAAATCCCCAACTGGACTCCCACTTCTGCTCTATCCTTCTCCAGTCCATTTTCCATGCAACAGCTAGAATAATCTGTCAAAATGAGAATCTGAACAGATCACCCACTGTGTAAAATCCTTCATTGACTTCCCATCACTCTGCAGAAAAAGCCATGAATCTTTATCTTAGCCACTAAGTCCCACCCCACATGGGAGCTGGGCCTTTCCTGCCTCCTCAGTATCATCTTTCAGTTTTTTTCTCCCACTGTGCATCAGTGTCTTGCCGCTCTGGTCTTCTCTTCCATCCTTCTGTGGGTGGTGCTCGCTCCCACCACACTGCCTTTATACATACCACTTCTTTCACTTGCTATGGTCTTTCCCACGCTCTGTACTGGAAAATTTCTTGCCATTTACCTTTCAAGACTTCCATGACCCCTTAGGTCAAATACCACTGTCTTCACCCAGAGTTCCAAATGGTTTTCTTTGTAACCCTATCACAGTTGCAGTATTGTATTTTTTGGTGTTAGTCTTTAATTGTATTTTTGTTTCTCCACTAGACAGTAAGTACTCTGAGGGTCCCACTTACCTTGCTCTCCAACGTAACCCCAAGCCCTAGCACAGGACTATGAATATGCCTTGCAGCTAGTCTGTAAACATGTGGGAGTCCAGTAAGGTAATGTATACACAAACATTTTGTCTACTACAAATCATTGTGTAACTGGAATAGATTATTATTACAAACAGATGAACTAGATGTTGTGGTGCACACCTGTAATCCCAACACTTGAGAGGCTGAGGCAGAAGGATCATGAATTTGAGGCCAGCATGGGCTACATAGTAAATTCCAGCCCAGTCTTGGCTATATAGCAAGAGCTTTGCTCAGAAAACCAAAATACAAATCAAAAGCCATAAAGAAAAGTAATTTCTTTTCAAAAGGGAGGTTCTATAAACAGTATAGGTCTATAGACACAGGAAGGGGGAGATATTAGAAGATACTTGAAGCAATGAAGCCTTCCTCTGATCTTCTAGAACACTGCATGGAGAACTCAAGGACAGTTCTGGAAATGTGTTCCAGAGAGTATACTCCCTGTTTACAGTCCTTGAACACGTCTGTTCACCTGACATTTTGGTGGTCGGTTTGGAAGAAAATTCACCTAGAGAAGAAGAGAACTCCTTCAGGGAATTCTAAGGGAGAAAAGGGTCCCATTCAAAGTATCATCAAAAGAAAGTAGATATTTATCCAGCCCTGGCATCTAATTTGACCTTTCTAAACATTAATGTCATAACCCCAAACAAATGGTGAGTTCCAAGACACCAGGGAAAAGTAAGCTTCCAAAAAGTCTGAGAAAACATCATTCAGGAGGGGGAAAAAAGCAAATTGGAGTAGCAATAAACCACAGACTGTAAATGTGGCAGAGGGAAGAAAATCATTTTAAGAAATGACCCTTTTCTGGCTTCTGAGTTGTTCTGAGTGGTTTGATGTCATTAGCAAGACGATCTTATTGATTTTCTTTTATTGGGTTAGTAAACAAATAGAAATCTAAGCATTTTACCACTTACAGTGCATTGTTTCCTGTAGTTATAAATATATTTTCTGCTCTCTTAGACTGGGTAGCCACATGAGGGATGGGAGGGGCTTTCTTAGATATGTTCCTTAACCCTTGGGTGTCTGACATGCAAGTGTATTTTCTTTTTTGTTTGTTTGGTTTTGGTTTTTGGTCTTTTTGAGACAGGGTCTCCCTGTAGCCTCAGCTGGCCTGGAACTCACTATGTAGACCAGGCTGGCCTCGATCTCGCAGAGATCCACCTGCCCCTGCCTCCTGAGTCCTGGGATTAAAGGTATGCACCACCATGCCCGGCACAAGTGCATTTTCTTATTATACTGTGTGGTTAGGAGTAAAGGAAAGTAAATGGAAAGGCGGAAACATATTTAACAGGTCACAGTGACAAATGATTCTTTTGGGGAGATTATCACCAGAAAATTCCCTGAGATAGCCTACTCTGTCACACTTCTACCCTCTAGTCTGCTGTCCCCAGAGTCATCTCATTTCAGGATCTCCATATCATGTAAGGTCTGAAGCATTCCAGAGTATATTAACCTATTTTCTGTTACTATAGTCAAACACTTGAGGCTGTGTAGCTATAAAGAAAGTTGCTTTAGCTCCCAGTTTGGTAGACTGAAACTCCAAATCATATAGTACCAGCACTGGTCAAGGACCTCTGGCTACATCGTCTCATAGCAGATGGCATCACAACTGCAGAGGAGCATATGCAGTGGAGAGATTACATAATTCAACAGCAAGACAAAGAAACTGGGATTGTTGTTTTATAATGAATTCCTCACCAGACCTAACTCACAGGTTCCTCAAGAACAACCTAGATCCCTTCTGAGGACTTAAGGATCCCATGAGGCACCAACTCTTAAAGGTCTCACCACCTTTTAACATTATCAAACTGAGTACCAAGTTTCCAACACATGATCCCTGGAGGGATACATGCTAACCATAGTCAAACCATAGCACTGAGGAAATGTTTTAGAAGAAAATGAAGCTTGCTTTGAACTAGAGGTAGCCCAGGCCACTATTGTGATCAGTTCCTTGTAGTACTTGCAGAAGGAAAAGAAGGAAGTAAGAAAAGGAGAGGGAGGATGGTGAAAGAAAAGAAAAGTGAATGGAGAAGAAAGGAAATAATGCAGAAAAAGGAGCAAGAAAAGATGTACAAGTTAGTCTTTTCTGTGTAACAAAGCAGCCTATACTGGTTAATTTTCCCCTTTCTGTGGACAAATATCTGGCAAGAAGAAACTCGAGGGAAGAAGGACTTATTTTGGCTCATAGTTTGAAAGGATACAGACCATCATAGAGAGGACGACATTGCAGAAGGTGGCTCCATGGCTGTAGGTGTGTGTAGCTGAAACTTTTCACCTCCTCACATCTAGGCAGAATAGGAAGCAAAGAAACTGGAGTGGGAATGGAGTTGGACTATAATGCTCAAAGCCCATCCTTCTCCCCATGCCACTTCACCAGCAACCCATTTCCTCCAGGTAGTCCCCATCTCCTAGAGGTTCCACAATGTCCCAAAACAGCGCCACCAACTGGAGATCAAGTGTTTAAACACTGGAGCACATGGTAGACATTTCACATTTAGACCATAACAAACCCCAAACTTGGCAGCCTCTAGCAATGGCCATTTCGTTTGTTTAGTTTTGGACTGCATACTTTTGGCTGAGTTCAGCGGAACAGTCCTTCTTCTGGTCACAGTTGGACTCGCTCATGCATCTGCAGTTAGCTGCCAGTCAGCTGCATGACTGTTCCTGGGGGTTGGCCACTTGTCAGAGCAATAGGGTGACTGGGCATGTGGCTTTCATCATCTGGCAGGCTAGCTCAGACTTGTTTCAATGCTTCTGTTTGCATCCCACTTGTAAGGCCCCATGGGGCAAAGCAAGCACAAGGCCAGCCCTCGCTGAAGGGGTGGAGAAACAGACTCCATGTTTTGACAAAGGGGCTGAAAAGTCACATTGCAGGTGGACAGGCATACTGGGATGGGAAGAATTAATGGCAAGTTTTGCAGTCTACCACAGTAGGGAAAGGCTAGCCATTTCTTTTCCCAGCAAAGACACAGCAATCTTGAAGTTGAGATCGAAGTCCTCATTGCATTAAAAAACAATATTAGTGCTACCAAGTTCCTACCTTCCACAGTTTCAACTGTCAGATAGGGCCAGATGATAATGTAAATTTTTACTCATTTCCAGCAGGAGCATAAACTTTTGGGGTAAGAATGTCCTGATCTTTTATTCCCTAGAATCGAACTAAGGAGCAGTTAAGTGTTTAATACATCTCACATGGCAAATGTATTTGGAAACAAAAATTTTAACACATTGCCTAATGTGTCAAATTTCCAGCTCAAGTGTCAAAAGTGTGACAGAGATATACTAAATGAAGAAAACGTTTATCTGTATGCCGTTTTTAGTTATTTGTTGGATCCACTGTATGTATACAATTGCTTGTTCTTTCTTTGTCTGTGTATCGTTTGGTCATATTTTCTCTTGTTGCTGGAAACAAAGCATCAAAACATAGTTTAAATATAGAGGGAAATGTTCATTATTGTTTGACAGTGGAAAAAGAAGTTTGGAGTTAATTAGGACATGCCAGTCATGACAATTGGGATTGATTGAAGGTAATTATCTACATTCAGTTTTCCTGGTGAAATGTTTTCATCTAAGTGGATGAAAGTTCATTTGAAGTTAATTTTGTGTGGCTACAGCTTAACGTAAGACTTGCACTTAAAAAATCAAGTATAAGTCTTCTTTGTGTGAAAGGTTATGCTTTTATAAAATGGTTAATTGGTAAGTCTTTGCAGACATATTTACTTTTAAAGTGACAATTGTTTATACTATAAGGAGAGTCACGATCTGTTTTGAAATACCTTTTAGT